TTCTACTCTTCAAGGTTAAAAATAAACATGAAGTTGAGCTCAAATGAGGGAGGGGATGTGCTTAATAATGATGTTTGAACAGCAGAAGATGCATCAATGGCTTCTGATGTGAATGGTCCCACTCCATGTTTGAGAAGTCACCGGCATTTCACTCCTCGTCCCTTGGTTTCTTTCCTTGTTTCTTTCGATAGTTCACGTGAGACTGAAGCTATTGGTCCTTTGACCTACATTTCATGATCATACTTTTCTTTCCCTCTGGTTGAGTGCTCTTGATATTCTATTCACAAGTGATGAAGGCCGAACCTCTCTTGACGGATGATGGCTTGATCTTGTTTCACATGAGCCTCCCATTTTTATTTATTTCATTTTCTTTTTTGGGGGGAGTTTAGTACTTTCATGTGAATGTTGTTCTAGGGTTGATTGTGTCTACCTGCATCCAAAATGATGCATTAATACGTTTAGCTAATGGTTTGAAGTTCATTTTGACTTAAGTTTTGTGATGCGTACGAAGAGTTTCTTCATTAGGGATCAATGTCTCCTGCTGGTTTTGAACATGTATGCAGATTTGCTTGTAATACAAACTACGAAATGTAATTCCTAGCCAATATATGGTAATGGTGATTGCACTTTCATTTCTCTTTGCATGTAACTCGCCATTTGTCGTGTTTGCTTTTATCTGCACCGGTAATATGATTGTAAAGTCGAATAGATAAAAAATGTAAGTTCTGTAGTTAGTCTCTGGTCAAATGGTTTGAAGCTCATCTTGTAGATGTTTTTATTTAGTGCTTGTGCTCTACTTGCGAAGTTTTTTAGTAATCTGGTTGTTTTACATCTTGCTATTTTCCTTTATTCTATTTAGTCTTTTTGCTTATCACTTTTGGCTAGTGTGGCTTTGTTCAGCATTTGAGTTTGAACTGGTGGCATTCTCTTGGAGTATATTTTCACCATTTGGTTTTCTTCTTCTTCTCTCTCTTTCACTTTGTGCTTTAGTGTGCATATATCTGTCATTTTGTTTCATTTTGTTCATGGATTAATGGTTGTTTAGTGTTTTTTAAAAAAAAAAAACTCAAAGTTAGTGGTTCTGTGAATTGGGGGACAAAGGCAAAATCCATTTTGTTTTCCAATATCCTGAGGCTGTGAGATGTGGAGAATAAAAGCAAAAAAAAAAAGAAGAAAAAACCTAAAATCGAATCGAGTCGAACCGAACCGAACCGAACCTAATCGAACTGGTTTTTTGGTTTGGTTCGGATTGAGGTTTGGTTTGGTTCAATTGTGCACACTACTAGTTCAGTTCGATTCGGTTTTCTTGAAAAACCGAACTGAACCAAACCATAAACACCCCTGCGTACTTACCATCAGAGCAACACCCTCTCCATAAACGTCCGCTCCATATAAGATAGAGCTAAGCAAATCGAACATCTTCTCTAGAATCCGCCGACTTCGAGCATAAACCCTAGCTGCGATCCGCCACAAGGCTCTACTCTATAGGTAATTCCAATCTCGGTCTCGCTTCTTCTTTCGCTGTGTGTAGTATCTTTGGGGGGTGTCTGACCTGGTTTCTGAGCTCTTTGCGGAGAAAAAAATGGTGTTTGGAGGAAAAATTTCTGAAGAATTGGGCAAGTTGAGCCAATCAATAGATGCATTCACTAGACGGGATGATTTTGGAAAAGCGATAATATCATGGTTTCTTTGTAGTCATGACTGTGAAATTGGTGGTCTTGGCCTGTCTTCATTGAGCAAATGCCAGTTTCTCTCTCTCTCTTTTGGCTTTTCTTTTTTGGGTCCTGAGACTGAGTGATAATGGCTTGGGATAACTAGGATGAAAAAAGTTGGGGCTTTATGCAATAGTTAACATGGCCCATAATATCATGTTAATTCTCCTTTTGTCTGGAACAAGAAAGCTTGTATCGAGAGTTTAAGATTTAGTGTTGAAAAGTCAATTTGTGAGTTTCGGGGAAGTTGCATCAGTCACGGCAAGGCAATGGCATTGTTTAATTGAGTTTTAAGGGGTACTACTATTTTGCAACCTGAAATAGCTTATGTCTGTTCTTTGCTTATTGTTGACACCTAATTTTTGCTTATTCGTTTTAAGTTAATTACATATAAAATTAGGGCATTAATTTTTAATACATAAACACAAATATTTTCATTAAATTGCATAGCATATAGACATTAGGTGCATTTGCATTAATAGGGGCAGCCGTGATCCCCAAAGAGAGGAGGTTATCCTCTTCTCTCTCGGCGTTAAAAGGAGGAGGGGGGCTCGGTGAATAGGGGGAATCGGAGAGAGAGAAAGACTGAGGAAGAAAAGGAGGATCAAGGGGTCCTTAGAGAGGAGAGTGTTCTGGCCGCTCCATCAGAGGTGGCTGGACGAATCTCCTCCCCCTCTTAGCCGTGCGTCGAGAGCCCGAGCTAACCTTCCCCTCATTTTGGGTCGTCGGAGCTCCACGTGGGGCAGGAAGTTGAAAACAGAGAGAATTCGGAGAAGAGAGAACAGAGAGTGGGAGGAGGAGATCGAGAGAGATTGGCGAGTTTCCGAGTCTTACCCACTCGCCGGAGGGCCACCCGAGACGCCGTCGAACCCCCCCAGTCGTCGCGCCTCACTTCGGCCAGTTGCGAACAGGCAGGTCCTCATCCTTGTCTTCCCCTGTTTCCGCTCCTCTTCCCCTGCCTCTCGGGTGTCGGGCACACCAAGCCCATTCGGTGATCGCCCGGCCCCGTCGACCGAGGTGAACATTTGTTTGACACCCAGTGAGGACGGTCTAAACGTTATACATCGAAAATCGACCATAAACTTTGTCAAAATTAGATCCGTGACTCTATTTTCGGGCTGCACCTCACCCGTTTGATCAAATGTCCAAACCAAATTGTTTAAGCTTTTAGTGTCGAATATAGTCGTGTTGTTTTTTAGCATTTCGGTGCCAACTGAGACGGAGCTAGAGTGAAATATACCAGTCTAGATCTTCACATATCATGATAGGGCCGAAAAGTGTGTTGGATGTCACTTTAGAACACATATCTCAACTTGCACATTACATGTTTGACGAAATGTCTAAATGGGGGTTCGAGTTGCTTTTTTGTGGAATCAGTGCTTGGAGCCCGATTTTTATGTTTGATTAGTGTTCACATTTGTCAAATGGTGTCTGAATCTGCGTGTTTTCTGTGATTTCTTTTGGTTTTATGACATATCTCTTGCCATTCGAGCCGGCCATGGACGGGACCTTCGCCGGAGATCTACTCCTCACGTTGGCGTTGCCCACGGTTTGAGGCCGCTACCGTAGGCTTGCTATTTTTGTTTTGAATGTGTGTATGTTCGTTTGTCTGCGTTGTAGTACAACTTGTTGCCGGGACATCTGGTTGTCGAAAAATGAAATGGTCATCGAGGTTGGTGTTTTGGTGGCTGTTGGTGCTGGATTAAGCATGGTGGTTCAGTGATAGTGGTGTCATGGTTTTGGCCGGAGCAGATTCGACGTCGGCGCCGGACGAGGAGGCTAGTTTCGGCTCGGTGCGGTGGCTGCCGGTGAACCACCGAGAAGGAAACGTTCTCGATGAAGAACACATGAAGAAGAAGAAGTTTTGGGAAAGGCCCGAAGAAGGGGATGAAGAAGAGTAATAAAAAAAATAGAAAATGAAAAAGAAACGGAAGAAAAACAAAAGAGAAAAGAAAGAAAAAAATTTGAAAAGAAATGCTCAAATGGAAGTTTCGGGCGGGTCAGAAATCCAAGTCGAATAGCTAGGTCAGATCGGGTTAGGGGATCCGGTCCAGGATTCTCATTTTATTAATAAAAATATTTAAAAATTCAAAAATTAAAAAAATTAAAAATTCCAAAAATTTTCGAAAATGTTTAAAAAATAAAAAAAAGTCTAAAAAAATAAAAAAATTTAATTCAAACAATTCAGAAAAATTTCAAAAAATCCAGAAAATTATGAAATGTTCAGAAATCAGTTTTTGGCCTAATTTCACTAGATTTTAGGTTAAAAAACTCACAAAAAATGAAAAATGAGAAAAATCCTTTAAAAAATTCCCAAAAATCGGATAAGCCATTAGGGCTTTACCTTAGGGTTTTTGATTGCCTTTTCCTTTCTAGAGACGATGCTAGGTCGCTAGTTGTTTATTTTCTTTATGATTATTTGGTTGCACACTTTTAATACATTGATTGTTATTTTCTATTTTTAAAACGGTTATATGGAATCTTAGCTTTTTCGATAGGCTGCTCGGTACTTTAGTTTGCGAACATTTAAGTTTAGGTATCGAAAGGCCACTAGTTAGATAGCTAGTATAATCAAGTCCCCAAACTTTAGAATCTCTGATTTTCACGCGTATCGAGACAATACTCCCGCGTCTCGATCAGGGTTTCTAGCTGACCCTTAATCATGACTAGTAGCGGCTCCAATCAAATGCGTAAATTAGACGATTCTTGTCGTATGAGGTATGAGGCTTGGGAGTGCCTCGGTCCTTGGATTAATGAACTATTTGATTTGTCTTTCAAACAAATCAATTAATGTTCATATCCGTCGACAAATACCTCTTTGCCTAAATCTAATTGGGACGAATAGGTCGCGACACTGATGCCAAAGTAGTTTGCCCCTATGTTGCACCGACACCGACACGCGACACGACACGATACGACGACAAGTCGTTTTTCAAAAAGTAAAGAATTCCGACACGTTGGGACACGTTATACATTAAATATATATATTTATATATACATGATAAATTATCATTTTTTAATTATTTTATTTAAATTAAATTTGATACAAATTCACAAATAAATAAATAACTCAAATTAATTTGATAAATTATATACGGTATATTTTATTATGTCATGTGATATAGTAAAAATTCTTTCATTTGGCCATATATATTTTTCTTTTGGAGTATCCATTTTCATTTTTATTTTCTGCCCGTTCTTTTTATTATCCCTCTTTCTCCACCAATTTTTTAAAGCTTTTAAGAAGCCATCTTCGTCCTTTTTATTAAGGACGGGCAGAAAGCTTTTATTATTCCTCTTTCTCCATCAAGTACTCTCTTGACCCTATCTCTCTCTCGTCTCTGCAACTGCAACAGTCCCTCCCTCTCTCTCTCTCTTCCTCTCCTCCGATCAGATCTCCGGCAGCTCTCGCCGCGGAAACTCCGATTCGCTCAGCTCGCTCATCCATGACGCTCGGCTCGGGAGGATCGGGGGTCGTCGGTGAGTTCTCAAAACCCTTCCCGACCTAGATTTCCAGATCCTCCCTCCCCGGGCAAATTCTCTCCCCCGATCCGGACCGATTCCCAGATCCCCCACCTCCCCGTTCCCCGTTTCTTCGAGAGGATTCGTCGTGGGGTTCGCAGCATCCGAGCCTCGATCTGTCGAAATTCGAAACAACGGGTACTCGCTGTCAAAAGGGATCGGGATTATGCGGCGCGTTGACCGCGTGTCCGAGCGTGTCCGCCGCGTGACACGGTGGCCTCCGGAACGTGTCGGTGCAACATAGGTTTGCCCTACCTCTGAGATTAATTCGCGTTCATGCTTGTGGCTCTGTGAGGTTGTTCCCATTATACGACATAGGGCGTATTTGAGAAAGAAAATTACTGGTAAGTCGCATTATGCTTTTGATGATTTTTAGCGGAATTGCAATATATCGCCATTTTTGTTTCTCTTTGGGGTTTTCAGAGAATGAGAAATATTTATGTTCAAGGTGGAAACAAGGTTCTGTGAATTTTTTGAACTGTATCTGTGTTTTAAGAGATGCAAGTTCTGACTAGTATATCGGGTATTTCTGACTGTGCTAACAGACTTGAAGCTTGTCAAAATGGATCCTTTTGAAGATATATTTCCTATACCTGCCGTAAAGAAAGGTAAGAAGGTTTTTGTCTTTAATGGGACTTACTGTTAGTGTCTAGCATGATTTTCCAGGGGTTAATGTCAAGTTCTTGCTAGGTACTGCCGCTGGCAAATTTCAACCCAAGGGAAGACCAGCATTAAGAAAGCCAACATCTTCATCGGGGACTTCAATCCTCCCTGGTAAAGACAAGGAAGAGGCTGTATCACCAAGTATTGCCATGTCAGACACGACAAAGTCATCGGGGAACGTCGGTCCAAAAGATGATAGGTTGACAGATCCCAATGCTTCACCTTTGGTTTCACTTGGTAGCTTTGGGCAAATGGTGCCTAGGAGAAGTGAAAGTTCACAACTGGCGGTGGACCACGTGGGACTGATGAGTACTTCATCTGAACTTGTGGTTCAACAGGATGTTGGTACCTCATATGCTCTTCCTTCTGACGTGGTTGTGCAAAATCAAAATATTGAGGATTCTTTTGTCTTTGAAGAATTTAATGGACAGGTGAGCTGGACAAAATATAACTGACTTAAATATATTGCAATACGATGCTTCCTAGATTTCTAACCTCGAAGATGCTTTTGGCTTTAGATGGATGCCGGGATGGATGATGACCTCATTTGCAATATACTCCCTCGGCCACTTGCAACCAGTGGTATGAACTATGATATGTATTTTACTTGTCATCTTCCTGTTTATAAAACTGACTTAATGTTTTTCTGAAGCAAGTGGCGCTATTTACAATTTTATCGCACTTAAGGCTTGTAGCAAGTTTCAACCCAAGCCTAAGCCCCAATTTTATCGCACTTAATGTTTTACAAATGTTCATGTCTTAGCTGAGTTTTGGGTTTGTTTTTATGAGGTCGTATTTTCTTGACTAGTACCACTAATATCTGCAGATAGAAACTTGTCGTCATGATGAGCATCACCATGAACTCTATTGTAGGACTTATTAGCCCTGTGGTTTGCTGAATATTGGTGATCATATCACTTGTTTTCATTCACTGACCGCAAGGCTCTCATCATGGAAACTTGTTTCTGTCTGCAGATATTGGTGATACTAGTCAGGAGGATATGACCCTGTTGTCAGAAAAAACAGCCATTCTTCCTTCAAGGGACATAAACGGAACAAGAGATTCAGATCTTCCAGCTTCTAATTACCTTGAATCAATCGAAGCCAGCATAAGTGATGCTGCACAACCTCACATTCATTCTAGTTTCTGTGAAAAGGAGACCCAAGACATGGCAATGGATGGGCGAGATGCTGCCTCTGTTTATGGGGATTGTTGTATTGACAAGGACAGGTCAGAAACAGAGGTGACTACCTGTACATGTTTGCAGATTTCTCTCTTTAACTTGGAATAATTGACCTTAATTTAGTGAATAAATGTTGGTTCTATGCAGGAAGCAGAGACTTTTCCTGATGTGCAAACTACAGACGGTTCACATGAGAGAATCACTGCATCGGGCGTCGGTATTGACTTTGCTTATTGAGTGCAGTTCACTTGCCACTTATTTGCTGCATCTGCTGTCTAATTTTTTCAAAATTGGTAATTCTAGGAAGGCCCGAGAGAGAAGATCTATTGGAGACCGAATTACAAAGTGGAGTAGGGAAACCTACTTTTTGCATCACTAATTCAGAAGTTGAGCCTGGTGATATGCCCCGAGATCTGGTTCTGTGTGAAACCCATCTTGATCAAGTCTCAGCTCCTACCTCCATACCTGATGATATATTTGATTACTCACCCATAAGGCTCGAAGATAGTACTTTCGAAAATCCAGCCTTTCATGAACCATCACACTCAGATACACTGTTCTCGGCAAATACGATGGATGTTTCTGATGTGCCTGGTGATTTGGTAATCATTTGACTGAAGTGCTGGTTTTCAATTGTATTAAGACAGCAATGAAGCACATTGGCATGTAGACATTTAGTGATGCTATACAGGAGTCTTGTTTTTTGTAAACTATTTGTCTGAGTTTGACATGAGCATACGCCTCTAGAAAGTGTGAATGCACAATGTTTATAAGCCGGCTTATGAAGGCGTGGCTTGATAGCTACATGCTGTTAAACTTCCCTTCACGTGTAAGCCGGAATTTGGTCAAGATTAAGCCATTGAAATTGATTATTAATTTCAGGCAATCCAGTTTTGAAGTGAACACAACCTCCTGATCTGGTACAATGTAAAAATTGATATAATACGTGCAATTTAGGTGAAAGTTTAAGCTATTTGATGAAAATGTAGTTCAATATTAAAATGCTTTAACATGCATATCTGATTTTATATTCTGAGCCTATTTAATGTTTTAACTGGCTTGTGCAGAGTCACCATCATAAAGAAACTTGGGCTGCGTCGGATATTCATTTGATGCAAGACAAATCCTGTATTTCTAATACCATGAGTGAAGTTAACAAATCATCAAGGCATTTGAGAAAGTGTCCTACTCCACACCAACTTGTTGACGGGTCTGATGGGGAGGCTAACTCTGATGGCAACAACTCAGCTGAAGCTCATACTCATAGTCCCTCCAATGGAGATGAACTATATGATGGTGATGAATATAGGACACGGAATTCCTCACAGAAGAGAAGTACTCCAAGAAAGTCAGAAAGACCATTGGCTAAGAAACAGAAAGAAGAAAAGAAGAAAGAAGCCAATAAAGCCTCTGAAAAAAGTACTGGAGAACCTCGCAAGAAGTTCTCTCACTCTACTCGGCGTGGCAAAAGATGCGGTAATAACATCTATGGGTGTTTGAGAATTCCCTATTCGATCTCTTTCTCTCTCTCTCTCTCACCATAGGCATATTGTTTCGTCTTATGTAGTGGATAAGGTTCTGCTTCAAACCCCAGAGGATGAAATTGACTATCGAAAGTTGCGCATTAAGGATCTAATTCTTCTTGCAGAACATAAGGAGCGTTTAACGGTACACAATATGATTCTTTAGTTTTTTCATGGTTTTTTGGAATTCTGATCCAGAAACTTGTTGCTATTCTTCATTCTGGTGCTTATATGTGTGTGTTGTTTTGCAGGTCAAAAAGGCAAAACCATCAAAAGCTAATTCAAATAATTACAGGTATCTGAATCCACTGTGATATTTGCCTCTGCTATTTTATTTGACAATGCAAGTAGTTATTGCCAAAGTTTGTTCATAATTGGTTTAGCTGATTGTTTTAATAAATAGTTTCTTGGAAGCTCTTATTTGATGAACTCCAGCCTTTTCTTTTCCCAATAACAGATTTTGAGAGACAAAATTTGTGGTGGCTTGTGTTGAGAGAGTGAACATTACCCTATGGCACTGGGTTGTCTGCTTTGAACATGATATTTCATGCCCTCATGATGCATAATATCAATTGCAGGCCTTCTGAGATCTTGGGAGGAGTCAAAAGCTGCTTATACTTTTTCTAATTTCTAATGTGGGCAATGGTCTGTTGATGCATTTTCCGAGCAGGATATTGTATAATAATGATAACATCTGGTTTGGGTTTTAACCAATTTGTCTGACAAAGTGCCAAGTAAATGGAAGAAAAATCAAAAGTTGATTAACCTGGCCATTTCTTCGTTAGAAATTTTGGAGTCTGTTTAGATTCTGCAGTTTAATTGTGTTTTGTGCCTGGACTGACAGTCAGAAAAACTAAAGCTGCGACTTGATTGTATTGCATATGCTAGACGGCTGAAATAGAGATAATAGAAACCTAGTACATGGCTTTTGCATTGATTATGCGCTTAGTGAAATTATACTGAGTACATTGCTGTTAGGAGTCTAATTGCATATCAATGCAGTGCTGACAAATCAACTCAGGGAGATGCTTCTCATAAGGAGGGTGAGAGTTTTCCTTCTGAGCAAGGAAAAGACTCCACTAACGAAGCCAGCAGTAGTGCTGAACCAGCTCCTCTTTTGTTCAATTACCAGTCTTTCATGGAGAAAACACCTCGCACTAGGTGGTCAAAGCAAGACACTGAACTATTTTATGAGGTGCGTGGAATAAGATTTTAACTCAAATCTATTTGCTTTGTAAATCTTAATCTTCTGTAGAGAATTAGTTGCAGATGAGCTGCCTGGTAATTTTTTTTTTTTTTCTGATTCCCCTCTTTGCTTGAGCATTTGAGTATCGGCCTAGTAAGGAAGACTATTCTATCTTTATTGAAATTATTTCTGGTTTTTTTCTTCTTTCTTGCTTTTGGCTTGAGATTGAGAATTGGTACATTATTTTCTTCAGAAAAATTGTCAGTTGTGATTAGGGGTTTAGAGTTCCTTTCTATCTGAGACATAAATGTAGCACATTACTGGACCACCAGTTCAATACTTAGTTCGGCATGCCTCGTAACATGTTCCAGGGTATAAGGCAATTTGGAACGGATCTCTCAATGATTAAAGAACTCTTCCCCAAATTGACACGCCAGCAAATAAAGTTGAAATTTAAGAAAGAAGAACGTCAAAATCGGTTAAGGCTTTCTGAAGCTTTGGACAGCCGTGCAAAAGGTGAGACAACTCCAACTTCTTTATCTATTTTCTTTTCCTTTTCCCTGTTGATAGCTATCAGAGAAAAATGATAGAACTGACGTGGGATTAATGAAGACAAGATAATGGATGGTCGCAAACTATTTTTTCTCTTTACACCTTCATCTTTGTGTCGAAAATGATATCTCTGGCTTTATCAGAAAAAGCAAAAAACCCGATATTACCAGGAAACTTTATTTTGTCAAAAACCAAATGGAATATATGAAGTAAATTCGTTAGATCATCAATAGAGAGATCCTTAGAACTTTATATTATAAAATCACTGACCTATATAGGAAGTAACCCTTTAATCAAATCTAAACAAACTTAACTATGTGTACTATTTATACCTTGTCAACGAACTGTACCTGACACATATAATTTTCCAATTTCCAATTGTAAAGGTAATTAAAAATGGACAAACCACAAAAACTATGCACTCTCCGTAGTATATTATTCAACTAAAATCCTCACAGTGATGATTATGGCAATGCATGCATGACTACTTCTATCTTGTTTGCATATAAGCCACGTCAGTTCTGTCATTTTTACATCTTCATTTTCGGACATATATTCTTCTATAACAGAGCCATTATCAATGTCTGCTCATTTTTTCAAGTAATTCCTTTGACCTCCCTGTTTTGGAGCAGAATCTCTTGTTTTTTTCACACCACGCCACTCCACTTGTATTTATTTAGTTTTAGCGTGGATTTTGTTGGGTTTGGGAGGTTGATGTGGATGGTTGGGGGGAATATTTGTTTAACATTACTGTCAGTAGTTGTACTTGGAACTGCAATTGTAGATCTTTGCTCACGAATCTTTATGTATGATCTTATTCATGCATAAGGTCATTACTGGAGCAATTTCTTTGTGCATTAGCGTTGCTCCACATTGAAATGGTTTCACACTGCTCTTTTCCCCTGGTTTTAGTCATTCTTTCGTGGGCTGCAATGGATATACCAGATTCAGAACTTTTCATCGACAATCATTACTGAAAAATAGTTGTCTTTCTCTATCGTATTTGAATTGTGCTTATCTAAAAACATCATGGGTTCCCTGGCATAAGCAATGTTGTAGAGTCTTCTTTGGCATGTCAGGTGTTGACTTGTCAATATGCGATATTCCCCTACGGACACTGCAGTCAAATTGTTCAGTTAGATCTTTGGTATACTTTTGCTTATCCTAGCGGGAAATCGGATGTTATGTAAGTGAATGTCCATTATATTGTGTTATTTCTGCAGATCATTCTCATTTTGAATTGGTGATTGAGCGTCTCCAAGCTGCTGCTCAGGCAGGGAAAGAATCAAGTAAAGATGTTTCAGCAAGCATGACGGCTGAGGAAGAGGATGGGGAGTCATCACCTGAAACCAATGTATGTATAAAGGAAAAAAGTTATAAACTAAAGTGTGCATGACTGTCTAACTGGATCTGTGGACTATTTGGTCTAGTGATTGTTTGAATTGACAGTTCAACCAGTCCTAGTGGTTTGTCCGCCATTTGAGCAGTTGTTGATGTCTTGATGAAAACGGTTATGATAAATGGTATACCTGTATGAAATGTTGCCACAAAATCACGTAGGTCAGATGCTGAGTGTGCACATTTAAAAGTTGAGGGCCAAGGTGTGTCTCACGCTGTAGAAGTTTTGTATTTTAGGTAACAATCTTGTTGATACAGTAAATGATGAATCAATCTTTCGTACAAATAGAATGGTGGGTGAGTGGCATAGTGTTATTGTTGCATTGCATTGAGGGATTGATTCCCCTGGCTCATCGCTGACTTGTACATTTTCCATGATCAAGGATCAGAGAATCAGTTTAATAAGGTTGACCATTTACTTTCACTGGATGAACAGGTGGACACCGAGTCAGTCTGCTTTTTGACCTGCGACATGTCATTTAATCAATCTGGATAAACTACTGCACAATCCTAGTTGGGTTGTAATTCTAGGAAAATCGTTGAATGTCAACATTAAAAGTAAAGTAACATACATCTTAATTGGTAGCACCTGTAACAATTGGTTGTTGAGCGCACAGAGCTGGAGTTCAAATATTGATGTCATAAAGGCTGCGGTTTTATCTTGGTAAATCTGGCTGTTTATTGATGTGTTTCTTGGGTTGCAGGAGGAAGCAGAAAAGCCTGAGAAAGATGAGGAAGTAGGAGATGAAGATGGTAAAGGTGATGTTGAGGTTCGTGATAAGTCTGATGAAAGTGATGATGACCTTTTCAATTGCTTGGGTTCGTACAAAAGTGAATTCTAATTATTTTGGTTGTTTCTAACCATAATTGTTGGCAAACTTTGCTCGATACACGGAGCGGCTCATTTTTGTCCGTAACTTGTCATAGTTTCAAAAATTATTTTGATTTGATAAGAGGGAATCTTATAATTGCCGATATTTAGAGTATGTGATCTAACCTTGCTAATGCAGAATTGATACTTTGGTGTAGCGATCTTCTCACGGTCCTGAAGCCAATGGCTACCTAATTTCATCTCTGATGGTATTTCGTTTCATGGTTTTTGGCTAATGACAGCTTTATGTAACCGTGTCGAATTCAATGAAAGTTTCCTAGTCTCTTGAGTTGTGCCTGTCCTGGATACGGCTCACATTCCTATTGTGTTTCGACTAGGTTTGCGAATGCATGTTGTCTATTATGGTTACCAAGAGAAGTCGTAACCTGTCATTGTTCAATTGTGTTGACAGTGAGATACTGGTTTCTGTCAACAGCTTCGATCAAATCATAGGGCGTTAGCATTTTCGTCGGTTCTCTTAGATTAATTCATCGGCTCATACCTGGTCGAGAAGCTCGGATTGTTGCGATATTTTTGTTAGACTCGCTTTTCGTATTTTTCATTCAACTTGCTAAAACCATTTTGATTGCATTGACGAGATTTTGAAGCTGTGTTCCAGTAGTCAGCTGGCAGAGTCGTTCATCTGAAATTTCTATGAGAATATGTACCGCATGTGGGGTTATTTTTTTGGGGTCAAAAGAAATGAATGTTTATAATTTTGGGTCGAAAGAAAATTTTATTCATTGCATCATCCTACACTTTAAGATAAACTAACTGAGAATAAACACTGAAAAAAGGAGCAAAATCTTACGTTTTCCTTCTTTTAGTGTTTACGCTCTAACACTTCTCAAAAGAGATTACAATCAACGAAGCACTTTAAAGAACTTCTCACTCAGTAACAAGAGTATAAGTATAACAAAGAATAAAGCTTTCTCTGTTTGGAGTCATCGTCATAATTTGTGCGTTCTTCAACATGTGTTGATCTCCTTATGTAGTCTTCAAAATCCAAGCTAACGGTTGGATACTCTTCAAAAGTATTAAATTTAGTTGTTAAAGATAAACAAACATTCACCGGGAGATTCGGTTGTCCATACAATCAAATTGTCTCCCCGAATAGAATTGCTTATATTAGGAAATAATATTTTCCATCCAATTAATTGACAATTGATTGGATTCTCCTTGGCATATCATTTCCAGAGTTCCAAACCTGCGGCTTGTCGTCAATATCCTTGAGACTTAGATTGATAGTCAAAGGAAAATCTAGGTCTTCAGATAATATTGTAAAATCATGTGATACGCATATTCTTTTCAAGTGATATAAGGAACCGCTTTTATTAGAATCGCATGAGTCTATAAAGGCTTCCCACCATTAGTTGATGCAGCTTTCAACTTCATCTTCCTAAGTATAATTAACACTGTATGAGCTATTCATCTTGTCACGGTATCTCCAAGTCTCTATGAACTTCTCATTCTCTAACTTGTTCACCTCCATTAAGGTATATTTTGTCATCATTAGTTTTTCATTTTATCCTTCAGGTTCTATTAGCGGTGATAAAACCTTTCTTTATAGTAGTTCATATGAGATAAGAGAATATATGCATTTATCAAATATCGATATAAACATATGGTTTTATCAACTTCAAATTATTATGGGAAGTTTTCCCAACATACTTTAAATTCTTTAAATTTGTCAAAAGTTTTTGATTTTTTTTCTTAAGAAATATACCCATATTTTTTTGGTAAAATTATCCATAAAATTTATCTTGTACCTTTTTTGTCTGAATGATTCGACCTTAGCAGGGCCAATAATGTATGTACGTACCTACTACAAAGGTTGTTTTGCTCCATTTGGCTTTTCCAACTAAAAAATACTCTCGATATTGTTTTCTAACAAGATATCTTTCGCATGGGTGGTTGGGATTGTCAATCAAATTCAAAGGCATTCTAGTCATTTCTTATCTAGACTAGTAATTTTAGTCTCCGAATATTTAGATTACCAGATTCTAGATGCCACAACCTGTTTGTATATTTCATCATTGCTTGAAAACTCAAAAAAGTCTTTGCCTGAGGAGTTAGAGGGAACATCTAGTTTTTTGTCATTTGCACCGTCGTAATTACATCTCTAATAATCCAAACTCCATTTTCAATGTTAACTTTGCGGCTTTTTCAAAAAGCTGTCCAACACTTAACAAAGTCCAAAAAACTCCTAGCATAAATTATATAATCGTTACGGTAAAATTAATACCATCTTTTGACATGACATTAATGTTACCTTAGCTCATTATGGATTTTTTTTACTGTAAAATTATATGTCCAACTGCGAGAATATCTCCTTTAGGCCAGTGATTACTGCAACTAGTATCAAGGTACTAGCTATTGGTATCCACGGTGCTTGAGTCATCCTTCTTGCATACGAGCACCATGCTTTTGTCAGCATCAATAGTATACATATGTTCTGGCTGCTTGTACGCCATCTTTGATTGCATTCGGATTTGTATTGTTTGATATACTTAAAACACTTGACTTTTGATTTGTCTCATGTTTTATATTTTCTGGGGGGATTTGAATTTCCACCTTTACCTCAGCCACCTTCGCAATCTCGGCCACCTTGATAGTCTCCTTAACTTGAATGAGCAACTTGACTTTGCAACGCTTCTCAGGATTTGAACCAATAGACTTTTTGATTCTTTTTTGCTTATGCAAGAACAATGAACCCATCAGCCCCTCCAACTATTGGTTGACACATTTTGCCCCTTTTCGATCGCCGAAATAACGCAGTCAAATCTTTCAGTCTACAACCCGCACATCATTGAGTTCTTCACCATTAAACCTTAATTGTTTAACAATGGTCTGCATATAATTAAAATATACTGAAATTGATGCAAAGCCGTTCCTGCTTAAAGACTTGAAATTATCTTGAAGTGTTTGAAGTTGCACCCCTTTGACGCGATCATCGCCTTTGTAGGATTTTTGCAAAATATCCCACGTTGCTTTTGTGCTCTCCTCGCTCGATAATTTTTCAAATATTGTTTTCTCCGGGGCTTGAAAGGTTGCATTCAATGCTTTCTGATCTTTCTTCCGGGACTTCACCAACAAATCTTTCTCCTCCTTTTTTAAAGCATCTAATGCTTTAGTATTGGCCACTTCGGTGTACCGTTTTTCATTAGATTTTACAAATCTGGCGATTTGAAAAGAACCTTCATCCGGACTAACTAGTTATAGAAATTCCTTCCATTCAACTTTAGAAGTTGCAATTGAATGGAATTGATGGATGTCATTGCTAGCTCCGATACCAAATATTGGAATCGAAAGCAATATAAACTTATGAAAATTTGGAGCAAGAGCACAAATATACAAAATGAAGAGAGAGAACTTCTTGTTGAAATGTTTTTTTTTAGGTTTCACTCATACAACTCTCAACTTTAATGCTTTATATAGAAGTTGAACACCTGCACATGATTTTGTCCTAAGCACAAATGTCAACGGACAACATACAATGTCAACAAAATAGCAACGACCCATCTAAAAGTCTTCAGCAGCTCCTTGAAAAAAAACTAGCCCTCCATCCAGGAATCAACAGCAAAGCTTCAACAACAATCAATCAAATTTATCATTTTTTAACACATACCAACCGAAAGTGGCACCTCAACATCACACTTCCATCACACAAGATGGCAATTTTCATTTATACACGATAAAGAAATCAAAAGTCCCGAAATAATTGTGATAAAAGAATTGAAGAATTGAACTAAATAATTGGTTTTCAAACCTAGTACTTGTAAAGTACAATAATTACAAAAAAATTGACGAAAAGTGTTGCGCATTAGGTGCAAAGAAAGGATGAATACTTACTAGAATTTGCCTATCTCTCGTATCCTTACAACTTACAAGTGGCAATCACCCTTTTTAGGAGGTAAGAATATCGTAATGATAGACTCGAAATGAGAAGTAAAGATGGCAAATCAAATTAATCGGCAAGCCAAAATTTCTACACTAACAAAAGACATACAAGTCATGAATGAGGTTGCCTGACAGGTGAGGCTTTAGGGAGCAACTGTTACTGCCCAACTTGCCCCTGGAAGCATAGAGGACTATTTAGACAAAAAAATAAATGGATAAGTGCACTGAATCCCTAAAACTTATCACGAAACTGCAATTAAGTCCTAAAACTGAATAAATTTCAAGATAAATCAATAAATGATAAAAGTTGAAATGAAATAAATGTTTAAGACTGATAATTAAAATTTATCTGAAGATACTTCATCCTCTTTCTCTATTTTTTGAATGGATTAATATCACAAAAAATCCTAAACTGGTAAACCTGGGACAAATTTACTCCAAACTAATTTTTTAATCACCAAAAATCCCAAACCGGTATACCTGCGACAAATTTACCCAAAACTAATTTTTTAACCACAAAAAATCCCAAACTGGTACACTTGTGATAAATTTACCCTCCGTTAAATTGGATTAATACCACGAAAAATCATAAATTGATAAATATGTGACAAATAGAGAAGTATAACATTAAACTGGTACACCCGTCAACTGCTATGTGTCATCCAACTCAGCAATTTGAAGGTAAAATTTAACGGAAACTAACAGAGGGTAAATTTGTCACAGGCGTACCAGTTTGGGGTTTTTTATGGTCAAAAAATTAGTTTGGGGTAAATTTGTCACAGGTATACAAGTTTGGGGTTTTTTGTGGTATTAACCATTTTTTAATTTAAGTTACTAGCATATAATTTCTTTAGTATTTAAATGTAAAGTTAAATTGTTTGTGCTTTGAAGACGATAATTAATGTGTCATTCCCCTTACTTATTGATATATAACTCTTTTTCATAAGTTAAGTTTATGAACTTAGACCAATGACATTTCAAGAATACGTGACATTCACGGTGGATTTTTATAAAAGTTTATGGATAATTTTTATACCCGGATTGGTTGTTTTAACAAAATCGGTCGTAGACACTTATAGAATGTTTCTTTTTTACCCGGTGCAGTGTGTAGTGCTGGGTTAAAGAAAAGGGGCGAGTATTCTCATCAGATGGTGCATGTTAAGAGATCTAGGATTGAGGTTGATCAAACTATATAAGGTCTAATTCGAGAAAAATAAAAGATCAAAGATATATTAGGACATCACATCATGAAGACTATTGATATCTGATTTTCAGCTAATAAGTCATATAGAAGAAAAATTCGAGATTAGAGTTCCTGATCATGATATGGCCTGTTTCTTGGTAAAAAAGAGTTATTTTAATGTTTTTCAAAGTTAGTTAAATTCCATAGCATTATG